GAATAATCCTACAAAATATATTACAAAAATATTTTAATTGAGGTATATAATCATAACGCTTATCAAATAAAACGATAAGTGTACCCCAACAGACTCTTTGAAAACTTCCTCGGCAGTCTTCTTAAACAATTTTTGAGCAATTTTGTCAAACACGACAAAGACTGCCGTCCCTCCAAAACCATCGTCCACGTTCAACAACAGAAAGAAACTATAAAAGAATAATTAGACAATTAATTTTATAAATATAAAAAAATATAAGACGTAAATATTAGAAAAGTATTTGGACACCGAATTCAAAGAATAGAGATTGACTACCTAGCAACAACTTCAGACTCATAAACATTACTATTGCAATTAATGCATTTCCAAGACGGCGGCGAAGGAGCATGGTCTCTCTCGGGTATAGGATGAACCTTTTTTCACACTTCTTGCATGCTATGTAATACCACGAATTACTATTGGCAACCGAGCGTATAGTCGCCAATGTCACATACGTACCAACCTGCTTACTCGAGATAATCAACGACAACCACCGATATACAAAATTTTTTTATAAACATAAATAATAGAGTATCGCATATTCACATACCGTATCGATCGAATGTATAGAACTTAACTTTCGCCTAATATTAGTTCCCAAAAATTCATTGTTTAATGAATCTTTAGAATCTACACCCGAATCATCTTCGTTAGGAATGAGAATATACTTATCTTGAGGCAACCTAAACGGAAAAAATACAGAAACTAATTATAGTAGAACGAACATACGTACATATAAAACCGTACTGTAATTCCATTGAATAAATCCTTACTCAAATCGGAATTTCGCCACAAGAGGAAAAACTGGATCAAACAAAATCTGAGTTGTATTAAAAGCATTTGAGACGCTCATCTCACCTAAAAAGTGTAAATAAATCGATGTATCAGAAATATATATAATCTATGATAAAACTCTTCATAATCGTTACTAAAATTGAATCAGTATAAATCATTAAGTAATATACCTCGATAGTTTTTGATACACGCAAGCCTTATAATAACCACAACGACGGATGCGTAATTACGTTTAACATAATCAGCAACTTCTTTTGCGTAATCAGCCCAAAGAGTACATGCTAATTGTAGATCGCTGTTATAATTAATACATGATCATGAGTTAAATCATATAACTAAAAAATAACACAAAATAAAATAAATTATTAAATTAGAACTAAGTATGTTACCTCTCATCCCTAAGATAAATCTTAAGTCTAGAACGACGTTTTCCTTGAGCCATAACGTCCTCAACATGACCAACTCTTACGATTTGTCCGACCACGTCTTAGCGTTTGTAATAAAATAGGACGAAACGAAAGAACCAAAACAATTACCGTGTCATAAAAAATACCGTGTCATAAAAATATTTTAAAAAATATGCGTCTCAGTTTAAATATGTTATCGATCAAGTAGCCATTGTCCAAATCAGTTGATAAAATATCTGGAAAACTTTTCATATATTTCTCAGGAACGTCTTGAGGAAAATCCAAGCATACAGAGACAGTCGTAGTTGCATAAAACACTATCTTGAAAGGCGTTCACAACCTTAAAAGTATTGATAAGCACCGATCTCCCCTCGATCAAATCTTTACGAAAAGATTTAGCGAAAAACCTTTCAACAGTTGCTTGTATCCTATCACCCTAAGATCCAAAGGACAATAAAAAAAAATTAACCAACAAATAATTGGCTAACCGAGATATTCATAAATTATAGGACTAACCTCTTGGTCAACCAAGACCATCTCAAGTGAACACCCCCCTCTACCTTTGAATCCATCCCAAATCTTGAGGATATTAACTTTGATAACAAAGTTATCAGAGCCAGGACGTAAATCCCTAACGAAAACATTAGATGCTGATTTTCTTTTAAAAATCGACATAGTTTAGACCAGACGATATTATAACAAAGAGAAAAGATTGGGAGAGATCAAGACGAAGAATGGGTATCTATATATATATAGTAGGAGACATGATATATATATATATATAAATTAGACTTAATTCGGATATGATTTACAACCTTTTAGAATATACATATATCGCAACAAAAGGTAAAGACGATCAAATCTTCTATTATTTTTTTTTATTTTAAAAATGTTAAAAACGATAAAATCTTCTAATTCTCTGTATAAAATAATAAAATAATACTCAGATAATATCGATTTAGATGTACTTTAACGGAAAATTAACATAATGAAATTCAATTCAATTAAAAAAATGGCAAACATTACAGTAATTGTATATACAAAGTAGAAAATATATTTAATAGATAAATAATTAGCGATTTAGACAAACAATTTAAGGAATTATTCCTAAACGATGTAAGTTACTAAAAACGATAATACATATCAATAATTAAGTGTAACAATAAATTAGATAAAATGCGATCAATCAAAATATTTTTACGGTTTATCATTTGTATAATTTATCCTCTGTATATAACATTTATAATTCTTAAATAACATATCGCATGAAAGAACAATTATTAGTCTAAATATAAAATGAACAATTACTATAATATATTGTAAAAATCGCGCACACACGCAGAGATATATAAGATAATTCATATGAGAAGAAAATGAAAAATAACAAACTAAAAAACTGCAATGTAGTTTTACACGATATAAAAAAATTCATAGGCTGTTATTCCAAGATTTATGTATTCGTGGAATGGAAATCAATATTGATCGGTTGACACCAATGCCTCCCGGAGACGTACTACTTCAGGAATAGCTGGTGCCAACATTATCCGTGTGTAATTAGGAGCCGCTACAGCCATCCAATTACCTTAATATCACAAAAAAAAAATTTGAAATAATTAATAACTTAACAAACACTTATAGTTTTAATATAGTTATATATATATTCGAGAAAGTATCATAAATTCCAGCCTTAGAATACCTCGAATGATATCAACTTTTGCAGCCAGAACGATACATATTATCTTATCATCATCACAATGCGTCAAACCATCAAGAAAATCTCGACCAAAATTACCAACCAAACAACATGGTAGACGACATCTTCTAATAATTATAAAATAAAACAATCAGCGGAAAATTGGTTGTAAATAAGTAGCTCTGAATTCTAAACAGTATGATAATACACAATACCTCTGATTCTCCAATTCGATATATATCTCGTTCATCATGTAGCTTTCAAAAGGATATTTTGGATCAACGTAGTTTCCAACAGTCATAACACGTCCAATTAGATCTTAACGGTAAAAACATAAAAAAGGCAAGTCAACACTATAGCGATTATAACTTACAAAACATAATATGTGTCATATCATAAGAACATACGTAATACACACAGCTTACCCACACAACTGTTAACGTCGCAGGATCCATCTATTATATACTCGAACTTGGTAAAAGAAAAGCAACGATATGAGTTATCCATCACAAATACACTGACCGAAGTTTGCAGTTTACAAAACACCAAAAGAATGATAAACAACTCTATATATACGGCGTATCATATATAGTTATTTTATTTTAATTTGATAAAATATAAGCAACGATAAGATTACGGAAAAACGGAATAATAATATGTTATAATTAAACTTTATTATTATAACAAAACTGATATATATAATTATTCTAATATCATTTATTATAAATTGCTTTTGTTAAAATAAGAAATAAGTATACCACGATAAAGAAACTAAAAAAAAAATATGGTAAAAAATTACTGTCTTCTGATAATCAACCAACGAACCCTAATGCATGGTATGCACTTCTAAACGAAGGATAAACGACTCCACCAACAGTCCTAATATCATCAAAACTACGTGGACCCCTAACTATGTCCAATAATAGCCTCAGATAATACTCTTCTCCGTACTCAGTCGGCGATTCGTCCACAACACAAGCACCAGAATTTCCTTTTAGTCTTGGCCTCCATGTCCTATTTTTACGATCCCATACAAACATAGAAGGAATCTCCGAGTATAAAAGATTCCTTGCCTCTGGATAATACTGATTACACCTAAATCAAGCAAGGAATTTAGGTTTTCTAGCAGCAACACGTCTATCTAAATTATTAGAAAACACAATATTTTCCCCCGGGAGATGAAACGGCATAACTTGCCAATTTACACGTGGTCGCCTGTGAGCACCTAGACATGTACAATAGAACAACAATCATATATACAATAACAACAATCAATAGAATACCGTAAAGAAAACTAACGATTAGTGACGTCCTCAAAAACGTAATACAAAACTCATTTAAGCAAACGCTTTCATCGAAGAACCCGAATGCAAACAATTCTAACAATGCAGACTGATAAACCGTGAAGTTGCGATAGACGCATATATATATACCTATACCGAAATATATGCATATATATAGAGATATAAGAATTATGTGGTTTACGCGTTATTTATTTTTTTCTAGGGTTTCCTAGAATGTTTTCCTTTATTTACATTTTATACATCTCTCAACTACCGAGTTTTTCCTTTTTAATAAGTAATTAAACAATTCATTCAAACACCATGATTTTCATAGCTACTAAATGGAAAAAAAAACAAAAGTTGTGGTATGATCGGGGATATATTCGAATCCTATTAGATATTTATAAATATGAGTTACTTGGAATCCAAGAAATCAATAAAATAATCCATTCAAACACCATGATTTTCATAGACACTAAATGGAAAAAACTAAAAGTTGTGATATGATCGGGGGTATATTCGAATCCTCTTAAATATTTATAAATATGAGTTACTTGGAGTCCAAGAAACCAATAAAAACATGCGTTATTTATGTAAATATATAACTTATATTATTTTCTCCGCTTTCTATACTTCAATATCAAACAACAATAATAATTACATTAAAAAAATATATTTATTGATTGAAATAAAGAGGTCTCAAGAACAAAGAATAATTAAACTATAATTTGTATACATGGTAAATCATTTTTTTAAATGATATTCAATGTAGACGTCATAACACTATTCAATGTAGACGTGCCACACTACCACGCGTGCATGGCCTCTTACGCGGATATCTGCATTGTTATAAAAAAAGATTTGAGAGAGAAAAGGCGACCACGAATTAATACTAAAAAGTTAAAATACAAACATTAAGTATTAGAAACTCACTGTTCCAAAACTCATCTAACTCAGGAATACGGGGATTGAGTTCAAACTTAGTAGGAGATGTAGAAGATATAGTGATCTTGCCTATGTTGATAAAACAAATACAGAGTCAAAACAATAAAACGAAACGAACATAGAGAATATAAATTTAGTATACTAAAAATACCTCCAAAATAATCAATAACGGCCCATCTAAGCACACACACAATGATATCTTGATCACAGCGTCTCCAAGATGCATAAAAGTTTTTCGCCATCTCACCGAACAATTCACAACCCAAATCAACACCACTAAATTAAAACATGCCACACATATTCAGATGGATAGAATAATTAAAACGACATTATACAGTTTAAAACATTCAGCAGACAGTACTGTTTATCTCTAAGACAGAACGTGACGGTTGAATATGAACCCCATATCTCGGAATACATATATCATTACATAGACTGCCATATGAAGGAAAAGAATGCTCTCCAGTCAGTAAACCACAGGACGTTCCAGATAGTCTTACATTTAAGACACGACCTATCAAATCTTCATAGACAACAAAAATTAAACAATGTTAACATCAGTAAGATAATAATAACGAAATTCAATAACTAAATCAAAAATAAACACACCAACTAAATAGTCATCATCATGGGCACGATCCAATATCCTTTGAAAATCAACGAAGTCAAAATAGGCATTTTCACATCTACGTGAAATCTTGTCAATGATAGTTGATGGTAGGAACAATATTTTGTATATATCTATGAGAAGTCGGTCTACAATTATCCTCACAATCGATAACAGAAAAACGACTGATAATAATCCAACTACCAACATCTATGCGAGACGATGCAGCACTGATCTCACCATCACTAACAGTGGCCTGAATTTTTACACCCTGTGAATAAAACAGTCAATTAGACACCGACAAAAATTTAGAATATTTTTGTGTAATAGTACAATAAATACCTGTTCATCCGACAATATGAGCTCCATGGAAGAACGTTTCGAAATTAGCATATGCACCCACGTTTGTAAAACCTTAACAAAGATAGTACAATCATCTTTGGAAGGACTCAAACGTGAAACACACCTACCAAAACACATTGAACCAAGAGAAACTGTATAAGTACACACCGAATCCTGGTGTCCAGATATACTAATATTCTTTTCGATGAGTATATCACTCAGTTCGACGTTTCGCTGATCTTCACTATCATCGTCAATATCAGTCTCATCATCCAACATAACATATTCATCATCATTTTCATTATCATCAGTTGAATCGGCATCGTCACCATCTTCATCTTCGTCATCACCGCTATCATCTTCTGAGCTATCACTTGAACCATCAGATTCTTCACAAGTCTCATCGTCGTCAATAAAATCATCCTCAGAATCATACTCATCTGTTTGGTTCATATCATCAGTATCTTCACCCGTCTCTGAATCAGACCCCATATAATCCTCAAAACCATAATCATCATCAGTACCACGACCCGATAAAACCTCGGTATCATCAGAGTCACTATCTTCTGCATAGATAAATATATGTAAAAACGGTGTAATTAGTATTCTAAAAAAAAAAAACAGTGTTCAAAACAAAAAACAAAGAATTGAAACCATTAGATTCTTTATTCATAACCCAAGCATTCCTCGCAAAATCCCATAGAAAAGTCTTCTGAGCATGATCACTCGTATTAACATGATCAGAACCTAAATGCACAAAACAAACATTAGAACAAACATAAAGACTTAATATACACCATTAACAAAAATATATTACATTAAGAGCAGAAATACCTCCTTTGATAAAAAGCTCGTGATCAAGAATAGATATATGATACGAAAAATCAATATCTACATAAAAATTGAAAACGTTCATAGATTAATAAATAATAAGGGTATGCATCTGAAAGGCTAACATATAGCATTACAAATGGTAAAAACTGTAAGATTAATAGACAGGACTACCTTCGAGAACAGGATTATATGTCCGCAAGGTCCATTCATCGATAGCAGAATCGATAAG